CTTGGTCATATGACCTGATCACCTGACTAGGCTGAGTAAGCAAGATGTTCTAGCAGGTTCCACCACAGAGGTATAAATATAAGGCCTACTCTGCCTGGGGACTGTCTCTTCAGACTTGGTCTCTTAGGATCATCCACAGGTACCTATACTGTAGATAGGTCTTAGTCATCAGGTCTACTCCACTTCCTTGTTGCCTGCTTAGACTCTTGGCACTCTTAGGTGAGCAGACTTGGTCAGCCTGTGTTGCCCTAACAATAGGTTGCAGGGGGATAAGAAGGAGAGGCAGAATCATAGGAGATATGTTGACCAGGCTCCATCATTGTGAAGGTCTGCAATGAGGTAGAAGTGCAGCCTGGGTGTTGATTGATGAGCATAATGTACAACATGACTGTGGTGCAGACTTGACACATGGGGAAAGCATTTGTGTGGGTTTATGCAGCCCAAAGTCTTTGCATGAGGGGGTTGACCCCCTCATGCAGGCAAGTGATCTACATGGACCCTGGGGAGGTCTGTGAGGCTGTCAGAGTTTCAAATTGGGCTTTGTGAAGCTTGGCACAAGCCAATGCCGCATTTTTAGCATCTGCAAGCCCCTTGCAGATGCTACGGGATGTCATCCAATTAATGCCTGTAGGGCATTGTAGTAAGAGTTATATACAGAGTTTTGGTTCACCTGGGCCTCACTCTCATTTGCAAGACTTTTTAATATGGAAATCAGTGAGTGTTGAGGGCACAATGTGCTTTCAGTGTTCATGACACTTACATGTTCAATGCAGTGGGGGCTGACTTTAGGCAGATGCATGCACACTCACAATGTAGGTACTGTAGGCACTGCAAGGTCAAAGAAGAGTCCCTATCCAAAGTACTCAAATCCTCCCTATATACATTTGGAGCAGTTTGGACTTTCAGACTAACTATCCTAACTCCACTCCCAATCTATATTATCTAAGGCTGTGTATAGGCTCCTTTCAGACACCATTCAGATGTCGTTCAGAGTACTGCCATCCAAATGTCAAATCTGAGTTCAAAATTAGAATGTGCAGCACAGGCTAGGCAGAAAGGTCAGATGTGAATTGAAATTGTACACTATGAGCTAGGTGCATGCAATCAATTTCTGTACTACTAGGACTTGCCATTGCAATTCATCCATCACACTGAGCGCATCAGCCATGATGCCGTAAATCCGGAGAAAGGGATTAATCCGAGTGGCTATGCCCCGTCAGAAACGTTGACATCAACTGCTGTCCCGTATCATTACGCACGCGACTTGCTTACATTCCCGCGCATACTTATCCCTTCCTATCTGCTTTGCTTTCCCGTACACCCCTATAGACAGCTCAGCATCTCTATCTGCACCTTCCGCTCTTGTTATCTCTCCGACCGCTCTCTCTTAGCCCCTTTCTCTCGCCCAAAACACCGCACAAGCGATGCCATTCGATCTCGACCACTGTATCGAGCAGCTGCTGCACAAGCGTCTGCTGGGAGAGCCACTCATCCGTGAGATATGCGAGAAGACGAAGGAAGTGCTCATGCGAGAGAGCAATGTCGTGCATATCCAGGCGCCTGTTACGGTCGTAGGGGATATACATGGGTGCGTTCTCTTTTCCTGGATATTGGGCTGGGACTTGTTGAGAGGAAAAGAATCTGACGTTTTGTTCAGGCAGTTTTATGACTTGGTGGAGATATTTAGAATAGGAGGGTACTGCCCAAATACAAATTATCTCTTTCTTGGTGCGTCTCCCTCCTCTGATCCGTGAATGCTGCCTCATGCAAGCACAGGGGACTACGTGGACCGTGGACTCTTCAGCGTCGAGACGATAACCTTGCTTACGTGTCTGAAACTTCGATATCCGGACCGGGTACAGCTCATCAGAGGGAATCATGAATCACGAGCTGTTACGCAGGGGCGTCCTCACTTCTCCATAAACCGCTGTCGCTTACGTCAACGCAGACCTACGGGTTTTACACTGAGTGCATACGAAAGTACGGCAGTCCGAACGTGTGGATATATTTTACGGATATGTTTGATTTCCTCACGCTGAGTGTGGTGATTGATGACCGAATATTCTGCGTGCATGGCGGTGAGTGACCGTGTACCTGTGAGAGGGCAGTACTGATAATGTGATTGGGCCAGGCTTGTCGCCGAGCATACATTCGATTGACCAGATCAAGGTGGTGGATCGATTTAGAGGTACGTCGTGCTACCTCAGGTCCTGCGTGTTACTGACGGGATCATCTGCAGAGATCCCGCACGAAGGTCCCATGGCAGACCTTGTGTGGTCCGACCCGGATTCTGACAAAGAAGACTTTGCAATCTCCCCCCGTGGGGCAGGATATACCTTCGGTTCTCAAGTAGTGCGCAAGTTCCTCGAGATAAACCACATGTCGCATATCCTCCGTGCGCACCAGCTGTGCATGGAAGGCTTCAGCGTATCGTTCGACAACCGGCTGAGCACCGTCTGGAGCGCGCCGAATTACTGTTATCGGTGTGGGAACTCGGCGAGTATATTGGAAATCGGACCTGGACAGGAAATGCACTTTAATGTCTTTGAAGCGGCCCCTGAGAACGAGAGGGATGGACCGCAGCAGGCCCAGCAGGCTTCGATGATGAAGGTGCGGCACTTTCCTTCTGGTCGAGAGTTAAATGCTCATATTGTCACAGATCGAGTATTTCCTCTAATCCGGGTTCGGGGCATCCGCACATAGGGTTTCGATCATATACAGTGTCTTTCAGAACATCCTATGCATGGGAGGAGGGAATATGTATCCTAGTTGTATTTTCTCAACCGTTTTTTGTAGCAAGTTTGATACATACCCCTGGGATTACGTTTCTGCCCGGCAATATTGTGTACAAATCGAGTCATCCATCGCCGACGCCAGGGCCCAAGGCCGAATTTGACATTTCTACGCAAGTGCTTCTTTACAGGCCCGTTAGGGATCGTTCTCCACCTTGATCTCCACCTGTGCGGTCGCTTGCCCAACACCTGTGCGGCCGTCTCCCCCCACCTGGGTTCTTGATCCTCTTCCTTTGGCTGTTCTCCCTCACTTTCACATCAACTATGGCTTCAGGTCCGATGGACTCTGTAGAGGAGATCATGCGGGACGACTCGGGGCTCGCGCAGACCGCGAAGGACCTTCTGGCCGGAACGGTAGGCGGTGTCGCGCAAGTGCTCGTGGGCCAGCCTTTTGATATCGTCAAAGTGGTGCGTAGCACTCTGAGTGGGAAGGGGAATGCAAGGGAAGCTGATGTCGTGCGGAGGGTAGAGGATGCAGACTGCTCAGGCGGGGACGTACACTGGGATGGGAGACTGTGCGAGGAGGATCTTGGTCAATGAGAGCCCGTTCGCATTCTACAAGGTGTGCAGCTAACGCTTCTTTGAGGAATCGCGCTGAATGCTGGGCATATAGGGCACCCTCACTCCCCTGCTCGGCATCGGTGTCTGTGTATCGATCCAATTCGCTGCCTTGCAGTCTGTCAAGCGTTTCTTCACCCAGCAAAACCTGCGCTCAGGCCGCGGGGGCAAGACGGGAGAAGAACTCGCCGCCGGGCAACTGTTTGTCGCCGGTGCCTGGGCGGGGTTGGCGAACGGGATCGTGAGCGGGCCGGTGGAGCATATCAGGATTCGTGCGTTTACTTTTGGGGATCGGTTCACTCGACTAACACTCGATACACAGGATTGCAGACCCAGCCCGCGAGCGCACCGTTGTACAAAGGTCCATGGGGGGCGATCACGAGCATATACGGACAGCACGGCATTTCCGGTATCTTCAAGGGCCAAGTTCCGACGTTCCTGCGTGAGGGACTCGGATACGGAGCGTACTTCTGGTGCTATGAGACGCTCATGCAACGGGAGATGAGAAAGAGGGGATGTAAGAGGGAGGAAGTGCCGGCGCTGTGGGCGGTCGGGTTTGGTGCCGCCGCCGGTTATGCTGTGGGTATTCTTGTCTTGGTGTCCTTAGTGTTGACTGACGTGCACTAGTTGTGGTTCACCATCTACCCCATCGATGTGATCAAGTCCCGTATCCAGACGGACGGCTTCACTCCCTCAACACGGCAATATTCTGGGACGCTAGATTGTGCACGCAAGCTCTGGCGCGGGGAAGGAATAGCTGGCTTCACACGTGGACTGGGACCTACACTGTTGAGGAGCCCGTTCGCGAATGGGGCGACGTTCATCGCTTTTGAGCTGGCGTATCGGGCGTTGAGCTGAGCCGATGGAGGGCGGAGGTGCAGTAAATGTAGATTGTTAGACCATAGACGGACGTGTGCAACGTATATAATAGCACGATCTAATCAACCTTTGTTTTCAACTCAGATGACCATGCTTTCCACCCACTGCACCCAAGTTTAAGGCAGATCATCCCAGAAGATAGGAGGCCAATAGGGACGATTATGTTGGTCCTGGGTCTAGACGAGCATCGCCTGCATCAGGAAGGGGCCCGTTTATCTGAGGAATCACTGATGGAAGGGGCTGATGCAGATGGGGATTGGAATAACAGGGCCCTGGTTGGACGGATGGGTTGTCGATAATGGATGTTGGAATGGAAGGGCGGGTGCCTTGTATGGGCGATGCGGACATTGCATTAGAAGGAGGAGGAGAAGAATACAAAATTTGTTACTCTTGTTGAACAAATATACTCGTAAGAGTTGTTTATATGTCGATGCGCCCACCTCCGCTGCATAACGTTAGGGTCTCATCCACTCTCCAGACAATCACATTCTTCATCCCGTGTTCGTGATATTACTCTCCCGTGCTGTGCTCATCGTCGGCACCACTTCCATCACCGTCCAGAACGTCCACGGGCAGCGCTTACCTGTGCCTTCATCTGCTTTTGTTACTCGTGTCTGCTTCTGGATATCAGAAGGTCAGAAGGACAGTGTTCTCAATAGGCACGGTCGTCTTATCTCGGTCGAGGCTGGCTTCCTTGTTTCGACGCTTGGTCGGCAGTGCTTCGCCAAACCGCCCCCGGTCGCGGCCGAAGCGGCGCACGGCCCAATTCTAGGCACGGTCGGCGGCGTTGGGGGAAGACTCTCTCGTATCGGCAGCCCGCTGTTGCACGACCGCTAAATCCGAAGGACAGCCGAACGCATACATCTAGCTCTCCCATCGTTTACACCCTGTTGTGCGTATACATCTCCCTCCTCTTGTTCCCCACTTCACGACCGCACATATCATGCCTCGGTACGCCTCACCAGAGCCTGACGAGCGCACCGTCCTCCTCCCCACCCAGCCTCAACCGCCTCAGGTGCCCATCATCCAACTTCCCTCACCGCAGAAGGTCTCTACCCCACTACCCACACCCAACAACAACGAAAAGAAACGAATATCCCCGCTCGAGCTCCCATGGCACAACAAGGTCCTCCTCCTCATTGGCGTATGGACCGCTACAAGCCTTGCAAGTTTGAACATGACCATGGTCGCTACTCTCATGAGCTCGATCTCGTCCTCCTTTGGCGCATCCAACCAGAGTGCTTGGCTCGGAACTTCCTTCCTCCTCGCTACAACTGCTTTTACCCCACTGTATGGAAGGTTGTGTAACATATTGGGCAGGAAGTGGGCCAATTTGACCGCTTTGTGTTTGTTTGGACTGGGAACGACCATGTGCGGGTTTGCAACCAGCTTAGAGGGGCTCATACTCGCCCGCTTCGTGCGTTCTCACTCTCACTCTCTGGTGCTCATACTGACAATCCACAGATTGCCGGCATTGGTGGTGGCGGTCTCGGTATCACCTCTTCCGTGATCGCGGCGGATCTCTTCTCTCTCCGTCAGCGTTCCCTTCTCCAAGGCATTAGCGCAGTCTTCAACGGCGCCGGAACTGGCCTTGGCGGCCCCTTCGGAGGGTACATGGCCGACCGGTTTGGTTGGCGCTGGGCCTTCCTTGCCCAGCTACCCATTTTTGCTCTGAGCTTTGGCCTCTCCGTCTGGAACAACAAGTACTACACTCCCGGCCGTGGCGCAAGTACTTGGGAAATGATCAGGCGTATTGATTGGGCAGGGAGCGCGTGTCTCCTCGTGTTTGTTCTGAATCTTCTACTCTTCCTATCGTTCAAATTCAACTCTGAGAGCCCGTGGAGCTCCCCGGAGGTCATCATTACGTTCTGTGGGATGATTGCCTTTGCGGGGATCTTCATCCTCACTCAGCTGTACGTCAGCCCAGAACCAGTGCTGAGCAGGAAGCTGTTGAAGATGAAGACGCCGATGATTGTTGCCGCGAACAACTTCTTGGTCGCTGTGTGCAATTTCGGTGTTACGTGAGTCCTCACAATTCCGCAACGGTTTGGGAAACTGAATCTGGTGGATAGCTTCTACTTCCCCGTCTGGTTTGAAACTGTCGCCCTGGAGTCAGCTGGGGAGGCGGGCTTGCATCTGCTCCCTAACGCGCTCGCATCTTCTACTGGCTCCTTGTTCGCGGGATGGATCATGTCTCGTACAGGAAAATACAAGACTCTCAGCAACATCTTTGGTATCGTGCCTGCGTGTGCAGCGGTAGGGATTGCACTGATGCACTCGGGGACGAGCCAGTGGCTCCAGTGGGTCAGCATCGTCCCCCTCGGGTTTGGCAACGCGGTGGTCTTCCAGACGACTCTCAGTGCGCGCTCTTTCGGTATCTCACAACTCCTGATCTGATTCTCCTGATTCAGTTGCACTTCTTGCCTCGGTTGGGAGCGGCCAGGTGGCGGTAGCCACGGGTTTTGCCGGCCTCTTCCGCTGTATTGGCCAGGTGTCCGGCGTCGCCTTCGGCGCAGCGTTCTTCCAGAGCCTGCTGCTAAATCAGTTACAACAGCGGATCACCGGACCTGACGCCGAATCCGTGAGTTTCTCATTTGTGCTGCTTTCAATTGTGCATCTGACACGCGATAACAGCTTATCACTAAGATTCGGCATGACGCGAAGATTGTCCCTGAGCTACCATCCGATCTGAAAGAAGAGGCTAGGCAAAGCTACGCCTACGCGTTACGCGCGGTATTCATCTTCTGGTGAGCCACAGGCAACTGGAACGAAGAGACAATGCTGAACTTGGAACAGCGCGATATGCACATCTCTTGCATTTGTCGTTCGTCTACCTATGCCTGAACACTCGCTAGACGAGCCTCCCACCGCTTCCCGCCCCGGCAGTCCAGATTCGGAAGAATCTGAGGAGGACAAGTCATCCGAAGAAGAAGACGAGGAGGCAGCGATCGGCGTTTCTAGTGAAACGAGTGTGGAGACTCCTACAGACGTGGTTTCTGTCCCGGTCACACCACGGTCCACCCGCCCCAGAGTGCGCAGATACTCGACGTACGAGACTGGGGACGGGTTCGCCTATCCTCAGACGCGCCCGAAGTTGCATCGGCGGAAGGCTGCTGTGCGTAGCGTGTCCGAGCGCCCGACGGGCGGCAGGTCAAGGAGCAGGATTAGGGACAATCACGATGGGCGCGGAGTGATGGAGGAGCAGGAGCCGATGGCATTTTCTCTCCCTACTGCGGACCCGATCTTTGTTCAGGAGCGCGAGGGCCATCTGGCGCATAGGCGTACGAGTGCTGATGCGGACGGAGATGCAGATCGAGAAGACGAAGGGGAGCCATCAACGCCCGTGAATGGACATGGACGGCCGATGGCATTCTCCCTTCCTCCACCCAGCCCAGGGATCGAGGATTGGGCGACCCAGAGCCATCATCATCATTTCTACGGGGAGGAGGTACATTGGCTGCCTGAGGCGCCGGAGGTTGGCAGTCCTCAAGGTTCGAGTCCGCCAGGCGAGGAAGCGCTCTGGACTCCGGAGAGAGAGGCGGTAAGGAGCCCTGGGCAGTGGAGCGAGCTGAGCGGGATGAGCGGGCTGGGGAGTGTGTTGGAGAGCGATGGGGAGGAGGAGAGCACGCCGACGGTTGGCACTCCTAAGGGTTATTTTCCTCCTCAGAGACGGTGAAAGTCTTGGGGAGGAATATGTACGTTAAAAAGAGGAGATACCCTTGATTGGATCATTTTGATTTCACCCCTGTATATACACTGCATGCATGGAATGTACAGCGTTTACAAGTTAGTTGTCTTGGTGCAGGAAAGGATCGAGTCGGTTCATCACGTGATTGTTTCAACCTTGGGAATGTGTGACAAGAAGAAAGAAGAGACACGAACTACTGGGAACTTCTTTGTATTTCACGATCGTCACCAAGAGAGTTATACATCTGCGAAAGGATGAGTCCCAGGATACAAGCTTCAACTTCACTGTTGGTGTATTCCTTCTCTTGTATCCTTCCTCTCCTCCTGCCACCTCCACCATCGCGTCCTCTCCTCCTTTGCACGCATTACAGCCATCTTGGATAGCACTGCTTGGCCTGTCCACTTCATAGCGCATACACCTATCTCCTCTATGAACAACAGCAACAACAACCCCGTCTTGCCTCCTATGTCTCCTCGGAACGGGGAGAGGGAGGCGCATATACCCGACTCGAGCATCCATCTTCCCTCTGCGTCAGCACCATATGTAGCCCACAGTCATGCAGCGCCCTTCACGTACCATCTTGCCGGAAGTATGGGTTGGAACAGTGATCCCCAACAACACGTTCAGCAGCAAAGGTCGCCTCAGAAGCCCTTTAACGTTGCTCTGTACGCGATACACGCCGAGGAGAAACCTCATCAGCAGGTCCACGTACACGGATACACCCATTTCAACCCCCATTATAATCCGCGCCAGCAGCAACACGTCCAGCCTCAAGAGGACGTGCTCATGTCGTCTATCCCCACCTCCGGGCATCCTCTTTTGCCGCAGGTCGTCGTTACTTCCTCGAGCGAGCAGCCCCTGGCGAAGCAAACAGCTACAACTCCAGGTACTTCCGTCTCCTTACAAAATCGCCAGCTCGCCCCACCCCCAAAAGCCGTCAGACAGAAGGTCGAACAGAAGATGTCTCCGGGCTTCTTGGGAAGCGAGGATATGTCCGTGTTCAAGGAGTTTGCAGATATGGATATTGGATCTCCCGGTCTCGGCGTGAACAGGCTCTTGGTGGAGGCGATCCATGAATAGTAAGCCTATCAAGTATGATTTGGGTGGAATGAGACCTGACATAGAACATAGCTTCGTCAAGAAAGGCTGGTTCCTCACAGCAAAGTCTCTCCAACAAGAAGCACTTGGTACGATACGAAGACCTCGTACATCGGCGATGGTGCGAGCGGAGAGAGAACTAGCTCAGAAGGCTGTCATGGCCAAACCGCCTCCTCCCTGGCCGGCCACAGAGAAGAGTGCGATGTATAACGTGAGCGGTTGACAGTAGTGCCGTGCACCACATGCAGCTGATGGTTCTAAGTGGTTTGAGGAATATTGCAGGCAGCAATTGTTTCCCGCGACTCGTGTGCGTCAGGCGCAGTATCAAAGACATCCTCCGCCCTCGCCGCCGGCAGTCTCGGCTCAGCGGGACACATCAGGCAACAATCAGGCAGCAGGACTAGGTTCATCTGGCCTTGTAGCGGCTTCTTCGGCTAGTCGCGTAGCAAACCCACCAAGCAGCGTGAGTCGCAGCCTTGGCAAGAGGAGTGTTCTCTGATAGCATGACATCAGGTACAGACAGGGTCAGTGAAAGAGGCCGCGGGAAGACAAGATAGGGTCAGTAGTAGCCTCTTCTCTTCTCGAAGACCACGGAAGAAACTGACCATATGTCCATTCAATTGCATCCTTCGTACGACCACCACTGCTTCGACCCCTCAACCTCCTGCACCTGTGTCACATCAATGCTCTTGTATCCTCTAGCATGGCGTATATCGTCCGCCAATGGCGGGATTGTCTGGTACAGGAGGCCGCGGAGACCCTATTGTGATCGCGCCCTCTCCGCGTCCCCGGAGCGTATCCGCGGAGCAGCCTCGCAGACAGACTGTCGATGACCTGATCGAAGAAGAACGAGAACGCCAGGCTCTCTTCTACCCACATGGCAACGGAACTGCTTCTTCTTCGAGCCCTCTAATTGGGTCGTCGCGTGCAGGAGGCGTCAATGGCTCGAGTCAAACATCGGCGGATCAGCGGTCGGCGCAGATGCAAACACGACCGGGGGTGGGAAGGCCGCGGGCAAGTACAGCGCATGGAGACGTCACCATGTACCGACTTCCAACATTGCTGGAGGAGAATACGGATGATGGGAATGATAATGGCCCGCCTCAGCTCCCAGCATCCCAGCCCCGTCGTCCTCCTCTACCTGTGTCTACATCCGATACCAGGCTAGTCACCGCCCTCAATCGTGGACACCACGCACGCTCGCCGTCTGGAAGTGCTCTGCAGCCAGAAATTGCTGTGATGAAGCTCGGAAGGAGCCCCAATGCTCCGTTTGGATCTATGACAGCCAATCGTGTTGCAACTGGCTCTGCTCCTGTCGAAGGCAACCTGTCTCGAGATTCGTACAACAAGATGACGACCAGAATCACGCGCAGAAACTCGAAAGGAAAGAGCGATGGGAAGAATGTGCCAACTTCTGATATGAAGAAGAGCGTTATCGACAAAGGCAAGGGACGAGCTGTTAGTGATAACAGGGGAGGGCCAGTCATCGATGTCCAAGGCAAAGGTAGAGCTACGGATACCGATCTCAATATGTCTCCTGGCAAGAACAAAGCGATCGATGTAGATCTCGAGCGGCCTAGGAGTCAAAGGAAGGGCAAAGGAAGAGCGCCGGATACGCAACAGGCAGAAAGCAGCAAGACACGCAGAGAAACCCTTACGTTCCCCGCTCAACCTGATGAGCGCTGGCCCGGATTTGACGCACGAGACTTCTATAAGGAACATGAACCTGATGAAGTGGAGAATATGAAGGTTACAGGGATGAGGCGGCTCGAGCCGCCTTCCGCTCCGGAGGCGTCGACCTCAGCATCTGCCCCGCAAGCGCTGCCGGAACAGCAGCCATCACACCCCGTACCACAACAGCATATGGTCTGGTCCGAGCAACAGCAAGCTCTCGTCAATATGGAGCAGGATCATATACCCCACCTCGCCTTACCAGCCTCTGTCGAGCAGACGTACACAATCCAGGCGGAGCCGTTCGTCCTCACAGCAAAAGTCAACTCCTCTGAACATTGGCCAAACCCAGCTCCAGATGAAACCGGCCAGACAGCGATTGACGAGCTCGGCAGGCAGACCTGGGATCAGGCCGCCACGCCAGAAGGAGCTCAAGCAGGACGTGCGGCCTCACGTGGTGTAGATTCTGTCATGCATGACCTGTTTGGAACTCCCTCACCTGCGCCAGCGGAGCCAATGTCATATCCACCTCCCATTCAGGATGGGGCCGTTCAACCTGTGCAGCAATCTGCACCTCCCGTTCTCGAAGCAGTTCCAGGCACTTCTGAGCTTGTCCAGGTTCCCCAAACCCAACACGCCGTGTCCGAGCCGGCATGGCTGGGAGCTCAAGCCCCTGCCACTCAAGCACCTCGGGTATTGACACCGCCTCAGCCTGAGCTGCAACCAGTTTTCTCGCCAAACCTCCTGAATCAGCTGTTTGGGTTCATGGATCCCTCGCTCTTCCAATCCCCGCAACTTCCGGTACCAGAAGAACTTGGGTTGTTGGATATTTCATTCTTTCAATCTCCTCCCCTTCCTATGGCACACGAAGGTCACGGGATAAATATGCACATGCCTAATATGGGGGATGCTCTGCAGCCTGTCCACCAACATGAGGGAGCAGACCAACTGATGACTGTCACACAATGGGAGCAGTTACAGCAATCAGGCATTCCCAACCACCCGCACGCACCCGTGCCCTTCTCCGCACATGCTCACGAAACCTCTATGAACACTTACACGAATCCACAACAGCAACAGAATATACGATATCATGACCCCGACCCGGGACTTATGATCCAAATGCCTTATTCTATGCCTTCCCAGCCGCAACCGACTTACCAGCCTAGCACGTTCCAGTCAAACCCTTATTTCCCGATGACGCAACTTGCTCCGCAAATGAACTCAGTTCCTGTCCCCACCCAGGTCGATCATCAGTCTCAAGAACCACAAAACCCTAGGGAGCAGGTCGTTCATGTCGAACAGGATGACGTAGAGGAACTGATGTCCTCTGGCGGAAGTTCGCCCATCTGGATCCCGGGGAATAGTAAGTGGTCAGGGGACTTTTGGAGAGAAGGAAGGGATGGGATGCATTCAAACAAGTAGTAGATATGGACACTTTTAGATAGACAGACGAGGACAATGAGCACGCTCTTTTACTGTATCTTGCACATGATCACCGATCTTGCCCGATGGGGTGCGCGTGAAAATGGAACCGTCGTCTGATAGCGATAGGGTCAGGCTATCTAGAAGTTTAGAAGCTGTAAATCAAGGCCAGGCGGGCAGAAGATCAACATCGGCACAAGCACATGAGCAGGACGACCGTTTTTCAGCCGCGCCCTTCACCCATGTGCACACTTTGAGTACCTTAATCTCCGCTGGGCGATAAACGAAGCTCTTGATCCGTGAAGTGGGCGCTTGAGCACCAGGTGTCACCCAGGAATGAACAAGCTGAGGGAGTGTTATTACGGTAGCAGGCAACGTTTTGTTGTGTCGTAATCTGTCGCCAGCAGTGAGATGGGAGGATGAAACGGTTGTCGACGAGACGACGTGTTGGTCGTCCCTGGAGCCGCGTAAGTGGGGTCCCTACCTGATCATGTGACTCCGCTGTCACGTCCACCGCGTGGACCCTGTCGTGTGTCAGGGCATCTCGTTGTGATAACACCCAATATCCACATGTTAAGTTCATGAAACAAAGACAACAGAGAAGAATGT